GGTGCGGACACATCGTCTCCATAAGACATTAATTAAAAAAGTATATAATTCACGATGTCGCTTGCAATACTTTTGCGGTTGCATTGCACGTTTGTATGTTGTGACTTACCTAACCAGATATTCATACATATATAAGCTTCTACGAAGCACGTAAATTATAATAAAAAAAGTTCCGTTTTGAAATAGTTTGTGTGTGTGTCCTATCGTTGTCCCTAGTCAGAGTTGGCTAGTGTTCTTTATACGTAGAGAGAGAAAGCTGTACGAGTGTACAGTTAGGAAAGAGTTACACGACGGATTATTACGAGCGATTCATTAAGCCTAGTTACATTGCCGCCCAACGAGCTAGGAGAAGCAACATGGCTACCCACGTCAGACCCGTCAATAACCCCCCGCCACAGATAGCGATAACCATCACGGATGAATTGTTTTTTGTTGTTTGGACCCCCGTTGTCCTTGCTCATCATTGCTTGAACGTTTAGAAGGAACAGCACCTCGTTGGAATTGTGTTGGAACACCCTTGTCCTCACGAACACTGCGAATAATCTGAATGAAATTCAGACATGCAGCCATATCCCAATTCCATAAACGATAATCAATAGCTACTTGTAAGTACATGACATGGCAATATCCAACTATACTAGTACACTTGTATCATCTACCTTATAGAATTGATGATGATAGTTATCACTATCAATAAATGATCCATTACTAATACTGAATTGTTATTATTATCATGCTGTGTCAATTGGCATTTCTACGGTGATAATGGTGTTAACAATTGTGTAGAGTTATCTATTAATAAACTGCAAATGTTAAAGGATAAATGCGCAAATTGGATGGAAAAACACTGTAGTTGCACGCGTTTGTAAATTAGTCGGAGATGGATAATGGTTATTGAGCTCCTTTCTAGCTGATATTACCTCATGAATAACCTATTGTTGGAAGACTAATATAGAATCATCTGCATGTATATATCGATTCAAGTCCTATTGCGTGCTAAATAAGCATAGTAGCCTAGCAATATCCACCAGCAAACATACCTCGGTTCCCATCAAATAACGTTTTTTTTACCGCATTCATTACCATATTTACTCGCTCATACGCCATATTAATCAGTACGTTGACACGCGTACTGCTTTTTCAGTCAATAAAATGTCATTTCACATTCGCAGCCTGTAATATACCATGTGGTCACTGTTTTTTGTTTCAAAAGCACGATGGTTTCCATCTAGGTCTACTACTACTACTAATACTACTATGTATATGTACCTATATAAACTGCTTTCTAATCGTACTATACCTGCTAAATAATTGCTCTTCTTTACGACCATTTCCACTGTACGAACAATCAGTATTAAACATCACACTCACGATGACTACAATCAAAACTGCAATGCTGGCCGCTACCGCAGTCATGCTAACACTAGCTTCTACCATGTCCAACGTAGTAGAAGCTATGCCGTCGGATAAAGTTGGTCCAGCTAGTGTACCTGGTCTTAGATTTACACCAGACTTAGGCATCGTCACTCTAGAAAGGCCATTTGATAGAGTGCAAGGTTTTATTAGCTGCAGTAACGATGCAGACAATAATAAGCAGATTGATGTACACACTAGCACGAATAATGCCTATAAAATATTTTACGATGTGAGTAGATGTAAATATGCATGGTATTAGACGCTAACAAGTCTATACATGTATTGTAAATAGAAATGTACCGATTATAAACCGGAGACTGACCGTGAAAGAATCCTTCTCGATAGTATTGGTTGTCCACTCGCTAAATATAGAGACGAGAATAATAAATGGTGCTATGTTAAGAAGGTGGTTAAGCCGGAATCCGTTCTAGCGGATCCTGATGATCATATGTTTACGTATATGAAACAAGACCGAGATAAATTCGTAGAAAATTTGATTGCTGGTATGTAGGCAAGAAAATGAAGAGAAAATGAACCATAAAATAGTAACGTCGCACTAATACACGAGGATAGCTCATCGTTTAGCATACAAACTACGTTGGTTTCTAAGCTGGAGAATAGAAGGTAACGTGCAAACGTGTATACGTGTTTATATAAGGAAAGACACGATACTAATGACCATTTATACCAGACGTATATACTGGTGAGGACGGATTGCCTTACATTAAACCAGGCTACATTATGGACGCAGACTTTAGACTATCGATGCCGAATCAACCCGCAATATATGATCGATTTATGAAGATTAGAGATCATCAGCACATGATGTATCAGTTTATAACCAAGTTCTATGCGAGTTATCTTTTCCCTGGTGAAAATGCAGTTAACAAATCTATGGAGCTAATTCATAGATTGCCTAAAACGCCCGTCTTAACGGCGAAATACAGTATCAGTAGCAATACTGCTGCTACTGCCGCTTGATTTACTATGATATATCCGCAATGATAATATACAAATAAATCATTTATTATTATACAATCCTAGATATAAATAACGCTCACTTGTTTTTTTCTTTCTCTTTTTTCCACTTACTTTTGTTGACAGGAATGACCAATACTGCGGTTGCACATATTCTCTATGTAACTATGGTAATTTAACTCGTCTTTCCTTTTCTTCCTCTTTCTTTCGCTTAATCTTTCTGTATTGTTCATTTAAGAATACTCTTACTACTTTATGCACTAATCTATTAAGGCGTATGCACCACACAACCTGACTGACCGTGCTTCCTCTACACTACTCATCTCGTCGTTCTTTTCTATTCAATACGCGTTTATTCGCGTTTATTTACCTTTTCCCGCTGATTACTATACCGTGCATTGTTCATACAGTGCATATTCGTGCTAGCAATTGTCTACTACGTACTACAACAGCAGTATAGTAAAAAAATTACGCCGCCGCAGCTTTTTTGAGATGAAGTGAAGAAGTTGGTGAGCGGGTGAATGGAACGTGGCATACTATTGTAGAGCAGGCAAACAAAAGGTAACGGAAAAATGAACACGGATATGTTAATGAAACATGTAATGGACATGCCGTAAGGAAATACGTGAATGACTCTTCCCCTTTTTGGAAGGGAGAAGAATAAGAAATGGCAAGTGGACATGAATTCGGTAATATTCTAGTTAATAAATACGGAGAAAAGAAAGCATTCAGACTAGGCATGGTGTTGAAACATGAGATAGGCTTCATTTGACATTCTTGCGGTTCAACCACTGGCACATGACACAATACGTCAACATAGTTCACCATACAAACGAGACAGCTGTTTCAACTTTATTGCCTCGCTTACTCCGCATAACATGCTGTTATTTCCTTCGTTCTTTCTGTTACACCATGGTGCTAAATTTAAGAAAACATTGATTCGCCCTTTTACTAATGCTACATCATTCAATTCCCTTATTAGATTAGGAACGTGGTTTCTTATGGCGCACATTGGTTCGGCGCGTACTGATACAATAAGGATTTCCTGGTTATCATGGAAGTATTCCAGAATAGATGGAAGCGAGTTAACGTGCAAGCATCAATGCCATCTCGAATATAAAAGCTGCATGTTATTCGTGGTTTCATTCGATATTCTACACACACATCTACTACAACGACTACATCCACATTTACGCTTATTCTAACTGATTGTCAACGGTCCCATACAACAACATGGTCTCCTTCCGCTCATTGTCCTTCGCCGCTGCCGTGATGCTGGTCATCATTGGTAATGCCAATGTTGGTATAGCGGCACCATTCGTCGGGTCTAGCACACCGGACCCATCACAACAACAAACGGCCCTAACACCCAACGTGCAACAGCAACCGGAGGAGCGTCAAGCAAGCGCACAGAAACCTCAAGTGGAGCAACCACTACAAGCACAACAACCACTACAAGCACAACAACCACTACAAGCACAGCAACCACTACAAACACAACAACCACTACAAGCACAGCAACCACTACAAACACAGCAACCGGAGGAGCGTCAAGCAAGCGCACAGAAACCTCAAGTGGAGCAACCACTACAAGCACAGCAACCGGAGGAGCGTCAAGCAAGCGCACAGAAACCTCAAGTGGAGCAACCACTACAAACACAGCAATCATATACTCAAACAGAGAAAGAGCAAAAAATGCAACAAATACAAGTGGAAATGCGACAGCTAGTGCTGCAAGGAGAACGACTAAGACTGGATGAAGAAAAGCTGAAACTGCAGAAAGAATTAGCAACGCTAATGCAGCAGTAACAGCAACAGACTACGCTTGATTCCGGATTCAGCCCAACGATTGATACTACCACTTTCATGGATGTCAGCGGAATTTTTTTCTTTTAATGTTGCCATAGCGTATTTTATTATAATAAACCAAATTGACAACATTCAAATGAATGATCCTATTTTTTTTTTCTTTTAATATTGCCGTAGCTTATTTTATTATAATAAACCAAATTGACAACATTCAAGTGAATGATCATATGAGATAAAATAAAGTACAGAGATATGATCGTTTGGGTTATTGAAGTGAGTGGTTATCGTCAAATGAATGATCCTAGATATAGCTAACGTTCATTTGTTTCTTTCTTTTTTTCTTCTTTACTTTTGTTGACAGGAATGGCTACTATTGCGGTTGTACATATTCTCTATGTAACTATAGTAATTTAACTCGTCTTTCCTTTCCTTCCTCTTTCTTTCGCTTAATCTTTCTGTATTGTTCATTTAAGAATACTCTTACTACTTTATGCGCTAATCTATTAAGGTGTATGCACCACACAACCTGACTGACCGTGCTTCCTCTACACTACTCATCTCGTCGTTCTTTTCTATTCAATACGCGTTCATTCGCGTTTATTTACCTTCCCACGCAGATTACTATACCGCGCATTGTTCATACAGTGCATATTCGTGCTAGCAATTGTCTACTACGTACTACAACAGCAGTATAGTAAAAAAAAAGCGTCGCCGCAGCTTTTTTTAGTGGTATCTTGCAAACATAGTGTATATATATGAAAAAGTCGCCTCCACTTCAACCAGCAGGTTAGATCTAAGCGTCAGTAGTATAGCGGTAGAATAGCTGCCTTCCAAGCAGTTGGCCCGGGTTCGACTCCCGGCTGACGCAAGTGTCTTTTTGCCGGCTGCTATATGTAAAATAACAGTCCAATCTCTTTTTGCTCAATGTGTAAACTAGCATGTATACGCGATAACATAAAGATGACAATGTATAGTATACGTAATCATATAGAACACGACGAATATAATTTATTGTATGTAAATATTAAAGGGATATACCTATATGCTAGTAACAAGAATGGCAAACTGTAATATTACAAACTACGTAAGTAACGATACGCGTACGATTAATAAAAAGATGATAACTGCTGTAATGGTGTTACGCTAATTAATGAACTAGCATCATCATCATCATCACCCACATTCTAGTTTTTCTTCTCTCTATTTACTTTGCTTATTACTTTTTCCTCGGTTACAATGTCAGCATTTCAGCGTTTTATGAATCACCCTGCTGGTCCAAAGACCATTCACTTTTGGGCACCAGCTATGAAGTGGGGCCTAGTAATTGCAGGCTTAAATGACATGCGTAAACCGGCAGAGACACTAAGTGTTTCGCAAAATGTTGCTTTAGCTGCCACTGGCATCATCTGGTCGCGTTATAGCACACAGATCATACCGGTTAATTACTCACTACTAAGCGTTAATCTATTCGTTGGTGCAACTGGTCTTTATCAATTGTATCGAATCTGGGATTATCGACGTAGTCAGCCAGAGGGAGTAGCAGTAGGCACCACCACCACTCCTGCTGCGACAACTGAATCAGTACAGTAATCGTATATATATATATATATATACTCGTCGATAATACACGTATATTGCAATGTATGGCCGCGTATTCGATCTTGTTTAACTTACGCGTTTATTCAGCTATTATCGACAAAAGAGAGAAAGAGAGAGATACCCCAATCATCGTTAACAATGAATGCTCTATTACCATTGCTTCATCGTACTATTAATTGTTTTAATAAAACAAAGAAGTAAACGTAATATACTAGCTGTATCTCTACAATATATATATCATGTGTAATACTTTATTGCGTAAATAGTATAGTCGTCTAGCATTACCACTTGACAGCAAGTGGATTAACGGATGCTTCCTCGATTGCTCTATAACCTGTATGCAATACTTTTAAGGCATATTCCGAGCCTGGTTGTCCTAGCCATTGTCTAAATAGGTAGATTGTAATTAATAATGGTGTTGCTACTTAAACTAGATTACTACACTTACTGATATACGCTAATAACATCGGCATTTTCTTCTGGCCATTGATCGGACACCGAGTGATAAAGAGTGTCTACTTTGGAAACCCATTCCTTGACTGAACTAGTCTCGTTAGGTGGTCGTAGTTGTCCACCACCATTAATACAGCCTAATCATTTATCGTATAATGCAATGAGTTATTCAATAATGATCAGCAATGATGTCGTTATTATTTACCTGATGGACATGCCATTACTTCCACGTAATGATACTGTGCTCTACGTGTTTTCATTTTACGGACTAGATTTTGTATATTTCTAAATCCATATACAGCGGCAAATCGTAATAATGGTTCTCCTTGAGCATTCTATTATATGGATTAGAAAAGAGCAGAAAAAAGAGAGCAATTGCTATACACTTACCTCTAGGGTAATTTCACGGAAATCGGCATTTCTTATGGTACGTATGCTTACACCTTGTTCTGTGGCAACATCATATTGTCCAGTCCAAATAGTTCACGTGCTGCATATCGCATGATATATTCTAGATAGCCACCTGAACCATTACCCGATGATCCAAGTAGTTCTTGCTCTTGACCTTCCGTTGTCGAAGCACTCAGCTTTGTAAACCTAATTATGACACAAGTAGTAATGTATTAGTCATTCGAATAGAGTAGCAATAATAATTAACATGCTTACATATTGCCAATAGACATCTCATCGCATTGATCGAGTGATATTGCCTTCTCTACCAGGAGTTTGTCAAGTTCACCCGTAGATATAACACAGTCAACATCGCGTGTTCTGTACAAATCATTGTAGAAATCCTCGCGCGATGCTTCCAACTTTTTATCATAACATGGCATTACGCAAACATGATAGATTCTATCGGGACTATTATTGTGTGCATATATCAATTAGTACATTATATTTAGTTATTATTCACACTAAATTACCTGATGTTTTGTTGTTTGGCCAAGTAGTCTTTAACTAAGGCGCCCATGATTTGTTGTGGTGATTTCGTGGTACTGATATACGGCACTAGAAAGCCATGGGTCTTTTCCGCATAACATATCCATCCTATAAGGTGAATGAACATGACTGATGAGTATCGACATGTCTAATATCTACTTCTTCTTCTTCTAGTTCTTACCGGGACAAGCTGATGCTAGCATTGGCATGCCATGCTGTTCACTAACGGGTGCGCCTTGTTCATTTGTCCATCGACGAAACCGTTCGGTAAACTCGCGTGCACTTTCGAGCAATGATATATCCCGCGAGAATGACGTGTCTAATACGTGATGTACACCCAACTGAGTGAGCGCATACGTAATACGACGTGCCGCTTGTAATGGTGTTAGATTGAACTTCGCCGCGAGTGATGCGCGTGATTGTGGCGAGATCGATACGACAACCATACGAATCTTGTCGGTTTGTCCAGTTTGATGTAATGTCGCATTCTCTCGTAGAATCGAGAGTAGTTCCTCGTGTGATTGCATTGCCACTAGAACGCTTTCAGCTGAGGTAATACATCCACTAGATGAGTAGATATTGATATTAGTAAAGGATATCGACGATACTCGTTACATAACATGATTGATTTGACTTACCTACAAGCCAGACAGTCGTTTAAACTAATCGTGGCTGCTTCAAGTTTTGTCTCACCACCATCGTGCATTACCTCGTAATACTGGCCACTATCGTCAATACGAATTGCAGACTATTGAGCGGTGATAGTAACAATAAACGGTCAGTGTTACTATGCGATATATGTCTATGTTATCCACTGTAGTGAATCTACTTACTTGCTCTGAACCAGCAGCTGTACCACCTGGCTTCTTAACCTCGACTGGTTTAATACATTCCTGTGAAGGTGCAATATAATCGTTAAGATCTGTAAGAATGAGACCACTAGAGAACGACATGTTGTTGTAATGAACAAGCAGTCCCGCGTGTATTGTACAGGAAAAGAGTAAGTGGAATAATAGTAATGAAGGATAATGAGATGTGAATTGCTACTATTACTACTATTAGTGTGGTATGTGGGATAGTTGAGCTAGAAACTGTAACTGCCTCACACACGGATTGGCTCCTCCTCTTTCATTCGGCATCCACTGGCTGACCAAAAGTCGCTGTGACATCCAGCACCCACAGCACTCGTGCTCCCCCTCTCCATCCATCCAAACATGGCTGCCCAGATCTCCAAGAAGCGCAAGGTATGTATGCAACAAGCTCGCTATATTCATCAATGGCACTCCTCTAGGCGATACAGATGGCATTAGATTGGATGGATGTCATAGATATTGGACATATATATGCATCATTCCATGGATAAATAACGGGTATATGCAATGGAGATAGTACACGGATGGATGCACTAGATAATCTATATACCATTGTAGCATTCATAGCTTACTAGTTAGTTTACTTGCTAGTAAGATGGATGGATGGATGGATATATAGATATATTAGATATACGCACTAGTACAAGTATCAATAGATGGATGAATGCGCGCTAATACTACTGTAGAGATGACATATATGGTGACATACATGTATCATAGACAGTATTGTAGATAGTGTGCATGTACACGGGTGGACATTCGCTCTTATAGAGAGAGAGAGAGAGAGACTTGTATAATGATAACATATCTGTTTTGTAATGATGATTTTCTATAATTATATATATATATTCTGACACCTCTTGTCCGAATGCCGGTTGTATCTATTACGACTGCTGCATAATGCACGCAAATGTAGAATTCTGAACCAAATACAGAACGATATTGTTATCATTATTAGATACCAGTATAATAGAGATATTGGGATAGTTAATATATACGGGGGAATATCTTTATTATAATTACGATGATGATGATGATGTATACTAACTATTTATTATTTACCTAATAATCATGGCATGATTGAATAGTTTGTCGCTGACGGTGTGTTCTACGCCGAACTCAACGAGTTCTTCACCCGCGAGCTTTCTGCTGAGGGTTACAGCGGCTGCGAAGTCCGTGTTACTCCAGCACGTACTGAGATCATCATCCGCGCCACCCAAACCCAAGATGTTCTTGGTGACAAGGGTCGTCGCATTCGCGAGTTGACCTCATTGATCCAGAAGCGTTTCAACTTCCCAGAGAACACCGTCGAGCTCTATGCTGAACGTGTAGCAGTCCGTGGTTTGTGCGCTGTTGCCCAGGCTGAATCCCTCAAGGCCAAGCTCTTGTCTGGTCTTGCTGTGCGTCGGTAAGTAACAATGAACTAGAATGAAGATGTGCTGTCACTATACTACCGATATACAGATAGACTTACCAATATGTATGTATAGTGCCTGCTACGGTGTTGTCCGCATGATCATGGAAGCTGGTGCCAAGGGTTGTGAAGTCGTTGTCAGCGGCAAGCTCCGTGCTGCTCGTGCCAAGGCTATGAAGTTCACCGATGGCTTTATGATTCACTCTGGTCAACCTGTTCGTGACTTTATCGACACTGCTGTACGTCACGTTATGCTTCGTCAAGGTAAGAATAGTAGCAATGTAGTAGTAGTAGCAGTAGCAGTGGTGTACATGAATATTAACGATTGCTTGCTTCTCTCTCTTTGCTAATAGGTGTGCTCGGTGTTAAGGTCAAGATCATGTTGGACTGCGATCCAACTGGTCGCTCTGGCCCCAAGAACCCACTTCCAGATGTGGTTACCATTATGGTAAGTAGAATTGATGATGACAAGTCTATTAGTGTAGCAATATCTTTGTCAGACAAGCGATGACTGACTGATTGTACTTGTATTGTTGTATAACAGGAACCCAAGGAAGAGGAACCAATTGCGGCTCCAATGTCCGAAGACTT